AATTATTGGGGTTCTTTGATAAGCCAAATCTAACCGTGTTTTTAGATTTTTAATTTGGGTCCCGTTTTATAAATTGGTCTTCATTGAGGTCCAAAGGGTCCAAAATTAAACTTAGTTTGATTTTAACAAAAATTGAATTCTTGGGGTTCTTTGATATGCTGAATCTAAACATGTGTTTAGATTTTTGATTATGGGCCCAGTTTTCAAGTTGGTCCAAGTTGGGGTCCAAAATTAAACTTTTTTTGATTTCAACAAAAATTGAATATATGGGGTTCTTTGATATGCTGAATCTAACCATGAATTTAGATTTTTTATTTGTGGGCCCCGCTATCAAATTGGTTCATATTGAGGTCAAAAGGGTCCAAAATTAAACTTTGTTTGATTTCATCAAAAATTGAATTATTGGGGTTCTTTGATATTCCAAATCTAACCGTGTATTTAGATTTTTAATTTTAAGTCCCGTTTTTTAAATTGGTCTACATTAAGGTCCAAAGGGTCCAAAATTAAACTTAGTTTGATTTTAGCAAAAATTGAATTCTTGGGGTTCTTTGATATGCTGAATCTAAACATGTGTTTAGATTTTTGATTATGGGCCCAGTTTTCAAGTTTGTCCAAGTTGGGGTCCAAAATTAAACTTTGTTTGATTTTAACAAAAATTGAATATATGGGGTTCTTTGATATGCTGAATCTAACCATGTATTTTGATTTTGGACATTGGACCATAATAGGTAAATTAAAAAAATTCAAGTTCTTAGACCACATTCTTTCTGTGTCAGAAACCTATGCTGTGTCAAATATTTAATAACAATCCAAATTCAGAGCTGTATCAAGCTTGAATGTTGTGTCCATACTTGCCCCAACTGTTCAGGGTTCGACCTCTGCGGTCGTATCAAGCTGCGCCCCAGCGAAGCATTTTATTAGATATTACTATAAAATGTTGCTGATGCTGATTAAGGATTTTGTTTATTTTTAGCCATGACTATGATGTCATTTTCTATTTTAATACCTTTATGATGTAATTTCCATTTTTAGATATTACTGTTAAATGATGCTGATTAAGGGTTTTTTGCTATGTTTAGCCATGACTATGATGTCATTTTCTATTTTAATATCTGTTATGATGTATTTAAATGGGCTTTTATGGTTACAAAGGAATTTTATTTTTAGATATTACTTTAAATGTTGCTGATTAAGGATTTTTGTTTATTTTTAGCCATGACTATGATGTCACTTTCTATTTTAATACCTTTATGATGTATTTAAATGGGCTCCCATGTATTTAGATTTTTGATTATTTATACATGTTACCAAATTGGTCCACATTGAACAAAAACGGTCCAAATTTCAACTTTATTACATTACATCAAACATTGAATTCTACATATTCTTTGATATATTGAAATTAACAAACAATTTAGTTTATGGATATTCCACCATAATAGGTAAATTAAATTTTTTCCAGTTCTTACACCACATTCATCCTGTGTCAGAAACCTATGCTGTGTCAAATATTTAATGACAATCCAAAGTCATAGCTGTATCAAGCTTGAATTTTGTGTCCATACTTGCCCCAACTGTTCAGGGTTCGACCTCTGCGGTCGTATCAAGCTGCGCCCCAGCGAAGCATTTTATTTGCAAAATTAAAACTAGGGGTTCGACATTAAAGGGTGGCCAATTGCCCAAAGCAGAACATTTCAGCCACAGTCGATTCGGCCATACTTTGTAAAGTTGTATCAGCCATGGTTTTAATTGTTTTAAAGGGAGGAAAATATAATTGTTTCTAATTAAGGAATGACTGTAATATTTTTTCTGTCTATGAAGAAATAACATCAAAAATGTGGTGCACACTGAATAACCTGATACCGGGTTATTTTAAAGTGTGCACCACATTTTTGTTGAGCCTTCGACTTTTGTTGAAAAAGCGAGACATAGCGATCCTACATTCCGTCGGCGCGGCGTCCACAAATATTCACTCTGTGGTTAAAGTTTTTGAAATTTTAATAACTTTCTTAAACTATCCTGGATTTCTACCAAACTTGGACAGAGGCTTGTTTATGATCATAAGATATTATCCAGAAGTAAATTTTGTAAAAAAAAAAAACTGTTTTTCCGTATTTTACTTATACAATGTAAATGGACTTAGTTTTTCTGCCAGTTAACATTACATTCACTCTGTGGTTAATGTTTTTAAAATTTTAATAACTTTCTTAAACTATCCAGGAATTTTACCAAACTTGGACAGAAGCTTGTTTATGATTAAAAGCTAGTATCTAGAAGGAAATTTTGTAAAAATTTATTTCCTGTTTTTCCGAATATTACTTATAAATGGACTTAGTTTTTCTTCCAGTTAACATTACATACAGTCTGCAGTTAAAGTTTTTAAAACATTTATTAGATTCATAAACCATCCTGGATTTTTACCAAACTTGGACAAAAGCTTCTTACAATCAAAAGATAGTATCAAGAGGAAAATTTTTAATAATTTTTTCCCCATTTTTGTTGACATAGCGATCCTACATTCTGTCGTCTCCTGAATTAAGGGATAAATCATCAAACAATGTAAAAATTATCTTCTTTATCATTTGTTCATTCAATAAATTTATCTTTCAACTCTTTTATAAATCTATAGATTTGATTGCATACTGTATTCATTTTTATGAGCATAACTTTTTTCATACATTTCAAACGTTTTATTTCATTAACTGTAAATCTATTATGTGCATTCCCCTAATACACTGAAAACATAGATAACAGCAAAAGTAGGCGAGACACTGGGTTCCACGGAACCCTTACAAATTTTTTATGTTATTTCGAATAGACAGAAAAAATATTACAGTCATTTCTTATAATTTAATTCTAAACTCCATTTTAAACCGGAGCAAACCATGAAAAAACGTTGATGACGTCACGGTCACATGACAAAATTATGTCTATGAGCTGATAAACAAAACAACGTCAGCCAATCAGGAGACGCGTTACATCCAAAATTAAATTATCAAGAGATGTTAACATCTTATTTATAATTAGGAAACAAATGGAAAAATAGGATTTAATCATGTTAATCATACATTTATTTTCCCTGATAAAAATGTGTCTCAATTTATGAATGAAATGAAAATTCGTAAAATGGTGATTATTATTAATTTTTAAAAAATGAAGTTTTTAATATATCATAAAAGATATGATAGTTAAAAAAGTGAAGAATATTGTTGTTTTTATCAGATATATATCTACATGTGTATATAATGATATATGTCTCTATCATAATAATAATATTGATCCCTCTGATCATTTGTTGATTGTAAATTATCATTTCTTTGATATATCTAAAGTATTAGTTATGCTTTTGTCAAAAAACTGTTGAGAAAATACCAATAAAACAAGATATTTGGTATGATTATCGATGAATCTACTTAATATGAGTTCAATCTCAACAGACTGCATGCACAATATTAAACGTAAATCTGTTAAAATGGAATCTACACAGCGAATGTATAAATATTAGATGCAGTAGTTGGTGTCCATGTTTCTCATACTTATGTTTGGTATGGACAAATTGTTTATTTTCTATTCTCTGTTATAAAAAAAAATATATTAATGAAGCACTAAAGTCAAAGGCAAATGTTGGTAATGTCTTAATCATGCGTGACATCTAATTGTTTAAGAGCAGATGGAGGTACACATTATGACACAATGACTTTTTGTTAAGTGATAATCTTTCTCAAAACAAACTTTTGTCAAAACAATAATTACACATATATATATGTTAAGAACAATATGAAATAGTGTGGCAGAAACGTCTTGAAAGCCAATTGTCCCAGACAAGTGAAAGTCATCATCAGGCAAGTAAAAGTTGCTGTGTACTTGTCCTATTGGCAGGTAAAAAATAAAAGTTAAAAGGGTGTAAAACACAGAATCTAGTCTTAATTAATTATCTTCTTATCGGGAAATCATCATATCAATCAGCCGTAGCGGTGGGGGCATTAAGTTTTACCCTTGTCCGTCTGTACGTACGTACGTCTTTCCGCACATCCCAAAATTGGTTTCCGTTCTCTAACTTGAGTTTGCCTCAACCACATGTTATGAAACTTATACACAATGCTTATTACCACAAAACACAGATCAAGTTTGAATTTTGGTGGCTTCACTTAAACTGTTCTAGAGTTATGCCCCTTTATAAATGGAAAAATTGCAAAATTTTTAGTTTCCGTTCTCTAACTTAAGTTTGCCTCAACCAAATGTTATGAAACTTATACACAATGCTTATTACCACAAAACACAGATCAAGTTTGAATTTTAATGGCGTCACTTTAACTGTTCTAGAGTTATGCCCCTTTATAAATGGAAAAATTGCAAAATTTTTATTTTCTTCTAAATATCAAGTAATTTTTAAAATTGGAGTTATCTTCCTTTGTCCATGATTATAGTTGAATCAACTACAATCAATGCTTTATACAATGCAATGTTTAATTTTGACTTCCACTGATAAAACACAGATCAAGTTGAGTTTGGGTAGTGTCACTTTAACCATTATTGAGTTATGCCCCTTTATAAATCGAAAGATTGCAAAATTTTTAGTTTCCATTCTGTAACTTAAGTTTGCCCAAACCAAACATTATGAAATATACACAATATTCATTACCACAAAACTAAGATCAAGTACAAATTTTTTGTTTCCGTTTTCTAACTTTAGTTTGCCTCAACCAAATGTTATGAAACTTATACACAATGCTTACATGTATTACTACATAATACAGATTAAGTACGAAATTTGGTGGCGACACTTTTACCATTCTTGAGTTATGTCCCTTTATAAACATAAAAATTGCTCTTCTGTGTCTTCTGTAAAAAAATAGCTCTTTTATTTTTGGAATACCCTAAACTAATTAGAACTGCAAGTTGTCTTCCATCATAGACATAAGACATGTCATGAAATAGAATAAAGTTATGATGTGGTAAATAATATTGATATACATGTATTGCAATTTGTTTATTTATAGCCAAATGTCAGCAGAGGAAAAGAGACGTGGAGAAGATGTGGAAGATGGAGGACCAGGCTTAGTTTATATGCCATTTGTTATAATGGAAGATCTTCTTGATAAATTAAGACTATTGGATTATGAACAAAATTTTTGTAGAGAAAGAAACCTTAAACCGATATCACGGTAAAATATTCATAATAAGCTAATAAAATTGAGTTTATATTTGAACATTTATGATTGATTTACAGATACGCTAATAAGTCAATATTTTTTGCTATTACTTAAAATAGAAATTTTTAAACAAATGCACTCTGGATGAAATCTTGAGCTGCTGTTGCTGAATTTTTCCCAGCCAAAACACGGTGCAGAGCACATAGAAATACTGGTTGTCTTTCTGATTTTCCTAACTTTCATCTGTGGGCCTTGTAAGTCATGTAAGTGCTATCACAATACATTTTTCACCAGAATTATGTGAAATTTAAATCAAAGGTTTATAAATATATCAACAATGTCACAAACATATTTGAAAGTCAGTGCTGATCAACTTTTTTTTAAAGGAGTTATGCCCCTTTGAAAAATTATTTATATGGAAAATTTCATTGTAAGCACTCTCAAGCATCTTTTCTTGCAGGAAATGTTGTTAATTTTTCAGACATTAACTGTGATGTATCATTAATATTAAAGTGTTACAATCAGCCAATAAAGTAAAACACCATTCAACAGTATATGAGTTGACATTACATAAATTACATAAATGAATGAATAGCTGATGTGAGCCGCTGCCATCATTGTAAACATTTTTCAAAACTTTCCAATTAAAATCACTGAATCAAATATAACCTGAGGCTGAATGATCTATAGTATAAACGTTGTGTTTTTTGTTCTTGCTAATCAACCAACATAGCTTTAAATAGAACACAGGGCTTAAATGAGAGTACTCATCTTATATCTTGAAAAATTGTTATAAAATAAATCTGGAAGGTACCCTTTCATTTATTTTTTCGTCCAGAACATGCATGTTAGTATATGCTATCAAAAATTTGATTCCAAATTTCAAAACTGGATTTTACACACATGTACTTTTTGTTTAAAAATTCACATACATGTATTTTGATTTCTCGTGTCAAAAATTTTGGTTGCCCATGATATTTACAATGCCTGCCAAATACATCATGCTTGGAGTTGACCTTATTTTCTATTCATCGAGAACACATCCTGAATTAATTCCTGGAGTCAAATTTTATGAAAATATATTTTAATGAAAATGAATTGCTTTGTTTGCATCATGTTGACATGTTAATTTTCTATTTTTTTTTAATTTTTCACTAAATATTTATCAGTTTTGAAAATCTGAAAACAAAGAGAAATAACAACAACAAAAATGATCAGCAAGGCAAGATCTACAAAGTTCAAACATGGTCAAAATTATTAATCAATTCCTCATAGTTATTACCCAATTTTGAATTTTTTGCAGTTACATGTAAATTGAAAACTGAACAAATATGTTAAATTTGCACAGATAGAAAATTACTTTAGTCTTAATATTTATTCCCTAGGTGAGTGATTCTGGCTCCTTGGAGTTATTTTTTGCATGTCAATTTCTCTACATCAAATTAAATGATATCTGATATTTTTGCTTTTTAATCATCTTTTTATTTAGGTCCATACATGTAGTTTTGGAAAAAACATGACCTGTTGAGGTTAGTGTGCCAGTGCTTTATAAACACATCATGTAGTAGACCTTCATTGCAAGGGCTTTCAGATGTTTGCCTATAGATTCTTTATTCATTTGAAGCATTTCAACCAAACAGTAGCTTAAAATTCTTTTTAAATTATCATATGAATGTGGCTTTGTAGTTTGTATGTTGTATTATTTATTTGTTTGTAGGCACTACTTTGCTATTCCTACCAACCCTGGTGAGCAGTTCTTCATGTTTACATCACTGAGTGCATGGCTGCTTAGAAAAGCTGGAAAAAATTTTGAGCAACCTCAAGAGGTATAATTCCTGTATGAAAGATTTAAAAAGAGAACTATATGATCCAATCACCAACATCTGTTGTGAATCTCATTATCTGAACAAAAAATAATTAATAACGCTCTTTTCACATCTATATTCTATTTTCAGCGAACCAAACTTGAACTGAATGAACCTTAGGCTTAGGGTCAATGGATGACTTCTTATAGGAATGAATGATGATGATGATTTTTGACTTATTTTCAAGTTATTGTCTTTAAATAGACACTATAATAGAAAAGTAGAAACTCTATAAGTATAATGCAAAAATGTCCAGCAATACAAGAGCTTTAAAAATATTAACCTGGTCCAAACCAAATGGATGATTTATGGCAGTTTTGACCCTAAATAATGATGTTTATTTTTTTATCATATTTTACTAATTTTTGAGGTTTTTCCTGCTATCAACAAAACACAGATCAAGTTTGAATTTTGGTGGCGTCACTTTAACCGTTGTAGCTAGAGTTATGCCCTTTTACAAATGGAAAAATTGCTGAATTTTTCGTTTCTGTTCTCTATCTTTGCCTCAACCAAATGTTATGAAACTTATACACAATACTTATTACCACAAAACTCAGATCAAGTACAAATTTGGGTAGCGTCACTTTTCCCGTTCTTCAGTTATGTCCCTTTATAACTTCATCTGTGTCCCATGGACACATTCCCCTTTTAATTTAATTAGTATCAATAAAGTTGATGTAGGATAAATGTCAATACGATAGCAATCCAACAACCCAAAAATGAACAAAAAGTGTGCTTTTAAAAAAATGATATGTGCGATTGACCAGTGATATTTGAAATGATAATGTATAAGGCTTTATTAAGCATGTGAATATCGTCAAATGGAAAATAACAATAATATTCCATCAAATTGGTTTTTTTTTTATTTTTGAAGCGAAGCAGCAGGCGTAACATAATTCTGTGCTTATATTCTTTTATAGTATGATGATCCTAATGCTACAATATCTAGTATTTTAGATGAAGTCAGGAAATATGTAAGTATTAACCCTTTTATACAGATATTCCTTTATTGTTTGATTTTTCAGGAGCGGATCCAGCCATTTTTAAAAGGGGGTTTCCAACCCAGGATAAAGGGGGGGGGGGGGGGGGGGGGGGGGGGGGGGGGGGGGGAGGGGGGGGGGGGGGTTTCCAACCATATGTCCCCATTCAAAAGCATTTATCATCAAAAAAAAGGGGGGTTCCAACCCCCAGGCCTTCCTCCCCCCTTTCCCCCCCCCTGGATCCGCCAATGTTTTTTAGCATGGCATTTTTTTGTGTCTAAACACAAATAGAAAAACTCTTGTTCATCTTTATTAACTTGGTTTACCCTGTGGTTTGTCAGAAACAACATGTACATAAAGTAACTGGTTTTTTTTTTGGAAGCTTAGGCCCGAGAACACAGTTATTTCGTAGTGCATTTCTTTTAGACAATAAATTCAAATTAAAAAAATCGCACCTGCTCTATCTCAAAAAGATTTTTACAGTGTAGTGTACTACTATTGATACAAATAATATCAAAATTATAGAAAATTCTACCAGCTCTAACTCAAAATATTGACAATTCTGTGTTAAGGGGGGCTAAAATTCAGTTTGACAGCTTCCGACATTCTAATTTTTGACCTTTTTTAACTGGACCAAATCACTACTTAACATAAAGATTCAGCACCCAAATTTTTTTAACATGTAATTTCATCCCCTTACTTAACATTTCATGCATAAAATATCAAGAAATAAATTGGGAAAGTGTATCAAAAAAAAATGCAAGTTATACACTGTTCACACTAGGGACTATATTTGTAGACAACGAAAACCAAAGGACGATAACTGTGTCCTTGGACCAGGTATACATCATTTATTTATGAATTTGTGTTCCTTGAAAAATAACATCTCAAATCTGATGTGAAGGTTGTCATATCCTATAGAGATGCTCTTTTTTATTGTGAGTGGGGGATATGGTAATAGTATCTATCTGTCTGTCTTTCAGTAAGATTTTCCATCTGTCCTAAACACTTTGTGAATGCAACTTCTCTGAGACCATTTGACAGAACACTCTCATAAATAGGAGGATTGTTTGCCATCAAGTTTGCTATATTGTACTGCCATGTTGATTCAACAATTTTTGTCTTGCCTCAACGTAGTTCATAAAGTGAGACCTTGTGACACACCATTCTATTCATCACAGCGTCAGGGGACAATTTGCTATGGTATAGCAATCGTGTTGCCATTGCATTAAGTAGAATAGCTGTTGGAAAAAGTTTTTAACTTCAGAGGCAAATTAATGGCTCTTTCTATACCTCCTCTTTTTAGATAAAAACCCTTGAGAAACATCCTTTTGTGCTAGGTTTTCAAAAGAAATTGATATACAGGTATATTATTTAATAATATGCTATCCCAAATTGATTTCAGGTGTCTAGTTTGTGGTAAGAAACCTTTTTTTGTTTTTGGATTTCAATGATTATTGATATATAAAAGTACAATATGCCATTCAAATTGAATCCCTGTTTCAAAAATTATTTATTTGCAGCCACTTTTTTAAATGTTAGCCATATTACATTATAAATTCATTGTACATGTATTGTAAGGAAACTTGATATCTAGGTAAAAAATATTCTGAATTTATGCCTGGTGTCAAAATAAATGAAAATATTCTACCTCATGCACATATATTGCTTTCTTTGCATCTGCATTATTAATTGTTTTTGCGCCTCAACACAAAATGTGCAAACATGGTCCTTACTGACATGTCATTTTTATATGACTGCAAAAATTTGCAGCCGTATTATGATATGGTGATTTTGTTGTCGTTGCCATCGTCCAAAGACATTTGGTTTCCAGACAATAACTTGAGTAAAAATGTATGGATCTCTATAAATTTGTACCACAAGGTTCCATACCACAAAAGGAAGGTAGGATTGAGTTTGGGGGTTATGACTGTATCCACTTAGGAATAAGGGGCCAAAAAGGGGTAAAGAACAAATAACTTCTTAAACTTTGTTTGAATTGTTTATTTCTGAACAATTTCAATGAGGTTTAAATAATCTTGAAATATTGGGGTTATTTGATATGCTCAATCTTACCGTGTATTTAGAATTTTGATGTTGGGCAGTGGTTTCAAATGTGTCCTAATTAGGATGCAAAATTAAAATTTGATTGATTTTAATATGCTGAATCTAATAATGTATTTAGATTTTGGATTTTGGGTCCATTTTTTAAATTGGTCCACATTAGTTCCAAAGGGTATAAAAATAAACTTGGTTTAATTTCAACAAATATTGAATGGTAGGGGTCTTTGCTATGCTGAATAATTCAAAATAACATTCTAACAATCAGCCATACATAAAACCAATAAACAATGAAAAATTACCTCCTCCATAACATCACATGATTCATCTCCTGCACTTTAAATAGGTACAAAGATGCATCATCAGATTTATCAAATGATCAGCATTCTCATTCAAATATATCAAGCCACTTCAATATTAATTTAAACATTTCCAACATATACTTAAAAACAGGGAAGTAACTCAAACCACAATTTAATGATAATCCACTCTAAAACACACAACATAATGTCACCTATTGATATCACTTTTCAGAACAATTCTAACCACAAATCCACAAATCTAATTAAAATAACATCTCAACCACTTAGAATTACAATCCCATAAACCACAACTGCCAACTCATGCCCAATTTTATGCCACAATTTTATCCCATTCATGTATTATTATTCTATTATCCTTTTAACTTAGATATGATTTTATCCTGCATTTCATTTCCATTCATTCATTCCTAAAATAGCTAAATTATCAGTATTAATTTCTAAATGCTAACAGTTTAACAATGTCAAGAAAAATGAATTTCCACCCCTTTCTTATCACTCACAGTCACAATATGTTGAAAAACTTCAATCATTACTTGATGACAAATAAACCTCAACTAATACACACAAACACCTCTACCCCACTTGTAGCAATATTCAAACACCAAAAAATTATTATTTAATTTAATAAAAGGTTTCCTACCAATTACAGCTTAAACTAAATTCCTTTATGGAGCATTTTATTTAAAAACTATTAAAGCTAACATTGTCCATTAATAAATAAATAAATAAAATTCTTGGTGTACTTGGATATGCTGAATCTAACCGTGTATTTCGATTTTGGATATTGGACTATAATAGGTAAAAGTCCAATTTCAAATTTTTCAGTTCTTTGACCACATTCTTTCTGTGTCAGAAACCTATGCTGTGTCAAATATTTAATCATAATCCAGATTCAGAGCTGTATCAAGCTTGAAAGTAGTGTCCATACTTGCCCCAACTGTTCAGGGTTCAACCTCTGTGGTCATATCAAGCTGCGCCTAGCAGTGCATTTTATTTTAGTTTTTACAACATTCAAATAAGATAAAAGTATTTTATATAATTGTAGTCGTTTTGAAGGAAACTCAATCTTACACATGCGAAAAATTTGATATTATTTATGTTATATCCCACAGCAACATTCCATAGACTTCCCGCCATCTAAACTTAAGCAGGGTTGTGGAGAGCATTGCATATATGTATTAGACAGACTTGCAGATGAAGCACTAAAGAACACACATTTTAGTTGGTCAAGGTAAGTTTTATGAATATATGGTTTCATCCTTAAAGTTACTACCATTTCCGTAAATCAAGAGTTACAAAGTTTTTTTGTAAAGTAAATACAGAAAAAGATGGTCTCTGTTAAAAGTGCCGCTGGGAATAACTATCAAAGTACACAGCAATGTATGCAATGGGTATCATTAGTGTAGCAGGAATTTCTAAGTAAACATTTCTGGAGTTCACTCCACTTTTTAGCTCACCTGGCCCGAAGGTGTCCGGCGTCGTCTGTTAACTTTTACAAAAATCTTCTCCTCTGAAACTACTGGGTCAAATTTAACCAAACTTGGTCACAATCATCATTGGGGTATCTAGTTTAAAAAATGTGTCCGGTGATCCGGTCAACCAACCAAGATGGCTGCCATGGCTAAAAATAGAACATAGGGGTAAAATGTAGATTTTGGCTTATATCTCTGAAACCAAAGCATTTAGAGCAAATCTGACATGGGGGTAAAATTGTTTATCAGGTCAAGATCTATCTGCCCTGAAATTTTCAGATGAATCGGAGAACCTGTTGTTGGGTTGCTGTCACTAAATTGGTAATTTTAAGAAAATTTTGCAGTATTTGGTTATTATCTTGAATATTATTATAGATAGAGATAAACTGTAAACAGCAATAATGTTCAGCAAAGTAAGATCTACAAATAAGTTGTCATGACGAAAATTGTCAGTCGACCCCTTTAGGAGTTATTGCCCTTAATAGTCAATTTTTTACAATTTTTCGTAAATTTTTGTAATCTTTTACAAAAATCTTCTCTGAAACTACTGAGACAAATTTAACCATACTTGGCCATAATCATTATTAGGGTATCTAGTTTAAAAAATTTGTGCGATGACCCCGCCTTCCAACCATCATGGCCGACTTGGTTAAAAATAGAACATAGGGGTAAAATGCAGTTTTTGGTTTATATCTCTGAAACTAAAGTATTTAGAGCAAATCTGACAGGTGGCAAAAATGTTCATCAGATTTAGATATATCTGCCCTGAAATTTTCAGACGAATCCGACAACCCGTTGTTGGGTTGCTGCCCCTGAGTTAGTAATTTTACAAAAATTTTGCAGTTTTTTGTTATTATCTTAGATATCATTATAATATCTAATATCTAATACTATTAATTATAATTATGATTTTAACCTTATTTTACATGATTTCCAAAGCATCAGTATATACAGGTGAGCGACACAGGCTCTTGAGAGCCTCTAGTTTTATTTCATTTGTGTTGCTCACTTGAGCTCATGTGACTCATTGGCCAATGTGACCTGTTGCCAACACTTAGGCATCATTCTCCTGTAAAACCACTGGACCATTTTTAGACAAATTTTGGCTGAATATTCCTTATGGTATTTTTAATCATCTTTTGTGCTTTTTATTTCTGCCCATCAACCATCATTAGGCGAGGATCCAGCCATTTTGAAAAGGGTGTTTGCAACCCCGGAACACCATGAAACGTTCACATAATTAAAAAAAAAAAAGATTTAAAAAAAAAAGGAGCTCCAACCCTCTGAACCCCCCTCGGATCTGCCAATGCAACATTGCCACCATAGCTTAAAATTGAAAAAAAAGGATAAAATGCAAGTACAATGTAATCACTTCATATTTTAAAAATTATAAAAGATCGAGAAAATCTAATGGGACCAAAAAAACTCAGAATGTCAATATCTAACAAATTCCATTACAAAAAAGAACAATAATGGATAAAGAAACTGAATACAGCAAAATTGAAAAACAAACAAATTGTGATTACAAATCAGTACTAAGTAAGATTCTTACAGCAAACAACATCCCAAATACATTTCTGCAACATCAAGTTTTAACTAGCTTAATTAGTAGACAAAAGAACATGTTTATGTTTAATTGTGTGCAATTTTTAGTGAGATTGGAGGCCACGACTGATGAAAATCATTTGTTATAGTCTCCACTCTCACTGAAAATTGAACACAAGACAGTTAACCATAAACAATGGTCTTTCAGTCTGCTAGACTTGCTAAAACTTCAAGTTGCTGAAATGGATGTTTCTTTCTTATAAGAATCTTATTAGATGGCACCTCATTATAATTGTCTTGTTAGTCAGGCTGAGAGTTATGCATTGAAGTAAGATAAGAAATTCAGTCTTCTTGGAGACTGTCAGTAACCTTGTAGAGATAATTTGTTGAGATTGCAAGACTGTTTACCACTTATTAATTTTAAAAGAACACATAAATTGGCTAATCAATAAATTGGTTGACATAATATAGACCAGAATATCCAGAAGAAGAAATGGATGAAGAAAATATAGTTGAGGATGACGCAGAGTTAACATTAGGAGAAATAGAAAAAACAATGATGCAGGTAGATTATTCTAATTAGTTTTTATTATACCACCGCAAAATTTTTCATACGACCGCAAAAAAATTGTGTTCGTCTATTGCTATCACGTCGTCGTCATCGGAAGAAAATTGGTTTCCGGACAATAACTTTAGTTTAAGTGTATGGATCTCTATGAAATGTAATCAAAAGGTTCAATACCACAAAAGGAAGGTTGGGATTGTTTTTGGGGGTGATGGTCCCAACCGTTTATGAATAAGGGGCCAAAAAGGGACCAAAACAAGCATTTTTTTAGTTTTCAGACAATTACTTGTGTTAAAGGGGCACTAGCTGTCAAATTCATGTTCACCGATTTGACTCAAATTCTCATATTTGATTTATAACAATGTAAAACATTTATCCAAATTATAAAAAGTCTAAAATAAACAGTTAACAGGACATGGGCATGATAACACGTAGCTTCGTTTCGTGTGTATTTTAGTCTTAGACGCCATCTAATTAACTATCGAGTTGACCTCCAAAGTCATCCGATGACCATATAAGCGATGTAAACATAAATAGAGATATAAATAGATTAAGGGAACTCGTGCTATTGGATTTTTCTAGGTCTGTTTAATTTCATATTATAGATTAAAAATATATGTTTATCATTGTTTTTACCTGTATAAGAATGATTTTTTTGTGGATCGGGTCAGTCAATCAAATGATTTACCTTTGTTTCACTTTCAATGTTGACATTCTTTTCCTTTAAATAACTTTACACATACAATTCACGTGTTATCCATCTCTAGCTAAGGGGTTAAATTGAAGTTCACATGAATACGGATTCAATGAAATCGAATTATTCACTTGCAAGTGAATAATTCATCATCAATGTTTCTTAGCTTATTTTGACAAAATTGAACCATACTGGCAGCTAAAAGCGAATAATTATTTCACTATTTCACTTTCATTAATGTTTGAACAAAAAAAAATCATATATTAGATTTTTTATATATCTCGTAGCTAGTGCCCCTTTAAGTGTATGGATGTCTCTTAAATTGTACCACATTTTACAAAAAGAAAATTTCTTCAAATATTATTTTTTTTGGAGGGGGGGTGGGGGTCAATTTTTTTCCCTCAGGCAGGATTTAAGAAATTATCAATTTTCCAAAACAAAAATTGGGGGTCACAATTTATTTTGCTAATTCTTTGTATATAGTCTGAAAACAGATTTACTAAGTATTGCGCAACAGCACAGTGTATTGCACAACAGCAAGAAATCTTCAATTGAATATAAATTCAAATCATATAACCAATTTTAAGTTCTTTGACTACATTTATTCTGTGTCAGAAACCTATAATGTGTCAAATGTTTAATAACAATCCAAATTCAGACCTGTATCAAGCTTGAATATTGTGTCCATTTTTGCCCCAACTTTTCATGGTTGGACCTCTGCTGTCACATCCAGCTGTGCTCGGTGAAGCACATTTTTAACAATTTGTTTTCCATTATAAAATCTCCCACTTGAAAACAATGATGAAGATAGATTATTCTTATTAGTTTTTATTAACAAGTTGTTTTCCATTATAAAATCTCCCACTTGAAATCTGCAGAGAATTATCCCTTCACTCTTTTATATATATATATATGTTTTGCCATCATAATCCAAGAGAGTATTACGTGTCAGTCCTGTCTGTTTTGACATCTGTTCATTTACTTAAAAACTTGGACTAATTTAGTCGAAACTTGCAAGGACCATCAAACAAAAGTCCTGTTTGATATTGATATATTTTGTGTTGTTTTTCCTGAGTCATGGACTTTGATCATGTAGAAAATAGATGTATTTTTAGGTTTCGATTAAATAACATGAGTTAGTATTAAGGATGTAGTCAGGTGAAATTAAAAAAATTCAGAAGTTAAAATTGATACTATAAGTCAGTTGATCATTAGTTAAGGAACAAAATAAGCTAAAAATATTGATAGGTTACCGTATGTAACTCTGTAAAAGGCTGACTCAGACTTTTACCTTATATTTAACATTGCCATTATTTGGGTCTCAAATCGTAAGAAAAGAAATCTAGAATCTGCTTAAATTTTGGTAATGAGCTTTTTATGAGCTATTGAAGTCTTCTATGAAAAGAAAAGTGGGTGATATGGGGCAAAATATTTTACCCTGTATAGTAGGAAAAAACCCAAGGAGTCAGTACATCTGACAAAAATTCATAAACCTGACATGACTACATCCTTAACAATGTCATGTAAGAAGTGTTGTTGTTACACTTGTGTAATTTGATTTTGACAAAAACCATGACTTATGCCCCTTGATTACCAAATAGTAGCCAAACTTTAGGTTTCCATGCAGTAACCTAGGGTTTCTTTTAATAATTAATGTTGATGACATTCCTTTATAAAAATCTATTAAATTTATTCTTACTGTTTCTAAATCCAGTTGGCGAAAGAGTTTGTCATTTGAGACAAACACTTTCCTTTTGCTGAAGATTGTATGTTGTATGTTTTGGTTTTATTGTATTGCTGGATTGCTGTCTAACTGACTTTTACTAAATTAGTTACATACTATTACTCTGACGTCAGATAATCTGTTTTGGGACTGGTTGGGCTGTGGGACTTCACTGCTGTTCATATTGAAAACAGGGATGGGGTAATCGTAATCTGTAATCGTAATCGATTGTAATTGATTACATTTTTTCCAGTAATCGACAGTAATCTGTAATCGAAGACATTTTCGATTACATGTAATCGTAATTTAATCGATTACAGCAAAAATCATGATGTAATCATCGATTACTTTCGATTACATTTCGATTACTTTAGTAAAATAGTTTGATGAAATATAACCTAGTATTTTAAATGAAAACATGTATGTATTCATCACTTTGAAGTACTGATATGACTTAAGAGTTTATCAACTGCCTTTATATTTCTATCTATTGTCTCAAGCTGCATTATGATCAACCAGATCCCCTACCATAATTTACTTTATATCTAGCTTTTGAAACAAATGGATTGATGTGCTTGTCAATAAGTCAACACCTTTTATATTAAAATAAGAAAATAGATTTAAAATAAGAAATGTGTCTTAAGTTAAGTTCTGTACTTCCTTAAAGTAGTAAGCTTATTTGTATTAAATTTCCTAAAAGCATAATTTTCAATAAGATTTAAGCTTAGAATAGATAAAACAGTTGATTTCTTATAATGTTAAGATATACATGTATATGAAAAATAAGTACACAAAATCCTTTTAACAATGAACCAATACCTATGCATTGAAATTCTTTTCAGAAAAAGATACATGTGTCCCTTGTTGACACTATAAATATATACTGTTTATAATTTTATTATAGAATAAAAAAATCTTAACAAACTTGTCTTTACTAATCAGATGATCAAAGTCTTCTAATCACTATATAAGACACATACTTTGTTTTTATTTCAATTACTGTTTGTCTAATTAAGATGGAGATTTACATTATTTTGCCCCAGGTTATAAATTGTACTCCATTGGCAGTTTTATAACCTATAATAAAGGTGGTTTTCAAACAAAAGGATTAAATCATGTTTGTCATTATAATTATAAATTTTGATCCTTAAAATTAGCTGAACTAATTAATAATTCTACTTTTTTATATTTTCTTCTGAGAAAACTTCCAACATTGTAAATAACTATGCTAAAATATACCTGCTTTTAATGAATAAAAACAAAAAAGCTAAGTTAAGTCAGTACGAAAGCAAAATTATTGAAAAAAACTTTAAACATATATATAAGTGATTGATGGAATGCAATGTCATCTCTAATTCATGTTGAAAGTCAAATTTCAAGATTTTTTTAATAATTCTGATCCTCAGTAAGAGATTCCATCTAGATAACAACTGTCAACTTATAATTTGGAAACAATGATTTAAATGCTGTTTTTTTGGTAAAGTTCTAAACACCTACTATACAAACGTTGATCAACATGATAGTGTTTAACTTACTTTATTTTTTTTTAAATTTTGAAGCATGTAATTGACAGTAATCAAAAAGTAATGTAATTACTTTTGATAAAGTAATCGATTGCAATCGATTACATACAAAAATCTGAGTAATCGATTATTAATCGATTGCACAAAATACCTTCATGTAATCGATTATTAATCGATTACATTTGTCAGTAATCGTGCCCATCCCTGATTGAAAACATGAAAATTGCCAATCTAGACTTTGGGCAACTCTTTCATTGGTATGAAATAGCCTTGACCAGTTCATATGAAATTTGGAATCATTCAACACTGTTTAATTTTAAAATATTTTACCTGTACTTCCCTGAGTTATGCCCTTATTATGTGAAAAGTAGCCAAATTTGAGTTTCTTATTCTGAATGTGAAATTGAATATCCATTAAGATTTTAAAACACAGTATTATAAACTAGTACTGAAAACAAGGTCAGTCCCATATTGATGACAATCACATGTGACATTTCTATATATAGCTAGTAAAACTGTATTTCATTCCTTGGGTGAATTTGGCAATCTCCTATGGTTTTATTTTGGGTATATTGCTTTTCAACATTTGCTCTATTTCATATTTGTTTGATTTTGGTTTCAAGCACCACAGAGAAAAAACAGATTTTTGAAATGTGAGATATGCATACAGTGCATTAAATTAAATATGATATTTTGTAATTTTGTATTAAGCCTCTGGCCATACTCTAGATTTCTCCTTTGGTACATTGTTTGGTTTGCTAATCCCTGTTGTATCTGTGATTGAATTTATGTCTAGGATCACCTAGAACCTTTTTTTTTACATTCTTTCCCCTTTTCTTAAGGTATGCAGTATTTGCCACAGAAATCACTTGTTAGCTCACCTGGCCACAAGGGCTAAGTGAGCTTTTCTCATCACTTGGCATCTGTCCTCCGTCTTTTTCTGTCAATTTTTACTAAATTCCTCTCCTCTGAAACTATTGGGCCAAATTTGGCCACAATCATCATTGGGCTATATAGTTGTGCCCGATGACCCCGCCTGCCAAAGAACATTGCTGACATAGTTAAAAAAATACAAGTTTTGACTATTATTTTGAAAACAGCTATAAATAGAATAAATCTGACAGGGGCCAGAAATGTTCAGGATGTTAAGATCTACCTACTGTCCATTAACATCAAAACGACTTATTTCAGGACTTATTGCCCTTAAATGATTAATTTTACTGTTTATTTTCATTTTTGCCTTTTATCTTAAAAAGTATTATAGATAATTGGTAATTTTAAAAAGAAAAAAATGCTCAGAAAATGATGTACAAATAAATCTAAAATTTGAATTTATGGTGTTCTTTGAAATGCTGAATCTAACCATGTATTGAGAGATTTTGGATTGTGGGCTCCTTTATCAAATTGGTCCACATTAAGGTCCAAAGGGTCCTAAATTAAACTTTTGTCTGATTTCATCAAAAATTGAATTCTTGGGATTCTTTGATATGCTGATTCTAATATGTACTTAGATTTTGGATATTGGACCAATATAGGTAAATGTCCAATTTCAAATATTTCAGTTCTTTGACCACATTCATTTTGTGTCACAAACCTATGCTGTTTCAAATATTCAATCACAATCCAAATTCAGAGCTGTTTTAAGCTTAAATGTAGTGTCCATACTTGCTCAACTGTTCAGGGTTTGACCTCTGCAGGAAAATCCGGTTTGCTGTCACTCTGACAGCCTCTTGTTGCCTATTATCTTCAAAATTATAATAGATAGATGGAAACTTTAAAAATCAATATGATCAACAACAGAAGATCTACAAATAAGTTAAACACGACAGGAATATCAGTTGACTCCTTATTAGAGTTATTGAACTTTAATGATGTTTTTACCAATTTTTTTTGTCTTGCCTATTATCTAGAAAACTATAAAAGATAAAAGGACACTTTAAATAGCAATAATGATCAGCAAGACAAGGTCTAGAAATAAGTCAAATTTGCCAAAATAGTTAGTTGACTTTTTATAGGAATTATTGCCATTAAATGACAACTTTTTACCCTTTTTGTTGTTTTGGGCAAGATAAAGAGGAATCCTATAGAAAACAAGTTATCACCAATAAAAGATAAAAAAAAAAGAGATTTTTATCATGTCAATCATATTCTAGTCTACAATGTTGGAGAGTGTTTATTGTTGAAGATGCACATAGACTTATGTGAGTAACACAGGCCCTTTAGAGCCTCTAGTTTTACTGGAGTACCTACTGAAACATTCCATTAATATCAAACTTGAATAAATGTTGATTGGTATATGCATCAATCATACAGCAATCCAATGGCACAAAACAACATCTAGAGGTCAATATAATAGACTTTTTTTTAAATATATGTCAAGCTTTAAATCGACATGTTTGAAAATTTGTGATTAAAATCAACAGACAATCAACAATCAGTCAACAACACCTAAAGGATCAAAAACACTAAGATATAAAGAAGGCCATTATGATCATAAGTACAAGAATAACTGCCAAAAATGCTTGCCTTGCAGATCATTTCATAATCTAATATATACTGTCATGCAGATGCATTCTCAAGCCAACCAAGCTATATCTGATTGTTATTATTTCAGAATCATATATTGTTACTTTTACCTAGTATAATTAATATACAAATGAATTTCAAATAGTTGTAACTTAAAATTTTCATTTTCTATTTTATTGATGTATGAGAATTTAATACCTCTGCAGATAACCTTGACTCTGTTGTACAATAATCATCTCTTCTTTTCTACAATTACATTTTTGTCGAGCCTGCAACATGTATGTTGCTAAAGCGAGACATAGCAATCCTAGATTCCATCGTCGTCTTCATCCACAGTTAGGTTCAGTATGTGGTTAAAGTTTTTTATACGACTGCAAAAAAATTTTTTGGATCGTATAATGGTATGATGTCGTCGTCTGAGTCGTCGTCATCCGAAGACACATTGGTTTCCGGACAATAACTTTATTTTAAGTGAATGGATCTCTATGAAATTTTTTAAGAAGGTTCAAAACCACAAAAGGAAGGTTGGGATTGATTTTTGGATAATGGTCCCAACCGTTTAGGAATTAGGGGCCCAAAAGGGGCCAAAACAAGCATTTTTCTAGTTTCAGGATAATAACTTGTGTATAAGTATTTCGATTGCTCTGAATTGTACCACAATGTTTAATACCACAAGTAAAAGGTTGGGATTCATTTTAGGGGTTATGGGACCAACAGTTTTGGAATTAAGGGCCAAAAAGGGGCCAAAAACAAGCATTTTTCTAGTTTCCAGACAATAACTTGTGTGTAAGTGTATGGATCTCTCTGACATTGTACCACAAGGTTCCATATAACAAAGGGAAGGCTGTGATTGAGTTTGGGGTTAATTGCCCCAAACATGTAGGAATTAGGGGCCAAAAAAGGGCCAAAAACAAGCATTTTTCTAGTTTCCAGACAATAACTTGTGTTTAAGTGTATGGATCTCTCTGAAATTGTACTACAATGTTCCATACTACAAAGGAAAGTCTGGGATTGAGTTTTGGGGTTATTGCTCCAAGGGGGGTTTCAAAAAGTTTGGGGGGGATTTTTTTTTCCAATTTTTTTAAGGGATTCATATTTTTTTTCAAATTTTTCAAATTTCGAATTTTTGAAAAGTTTCAAGAAGAAATCTTTAATTGCACAGTATTGCACAATAGATTTGTAAGATCTTTGACCACATTTATTTTGTGTCAGAAACCTATATTATGTCAAAAATTTGATCACAATCCAAATTCAGACAGTATCAAGCTTGAATATTGTGTCCAAATTTGCCCAAACTGTTCAGGGTTCGACCTCTGCGGTCGTATCAGGCTACGCTCAGCGAAGCATTTTATTTTAGACATAAATAACTTTGTCAAACCTTCATGGAATTTTAGGAAATTTGGACAGAAGCTTGTTTATGAACAACATACTGTATCCAGAGCAAAATTTTGAAAATATTTATTTTCATTTTTCTGTATTTTACTGATAAATGGACTTATTTTTTTTTTTTACAGTTATCAAGTAGATACGTATCAGTCTGAGGTACAAGTTTTTCAGTCATCAATAACTTTGTCAGATCTTCATGGAAGTTAAGGAAATTTGGACATGAGAAGCTTAGTTATGACAAAAAAACAGTATTCAGAGCAAAATTTTGAAAATATTTATTTTCATTTTTCTGTATTTAACGTTAACTGACTTAGTTTTTTACAGTTAACATTTACAGACAGTCCGGGATTAAACTTTTTTGACATGATAAATTTGTAAACCTTCATGGATTGTTATGAAACTTGGACAGAAGCTAATTTTCAAGACCATGAAATAGCATCTAAAGAAAAAGTTTGATTGTTTTTTAAATTCTGTATTTTACTGATAAATGGACTCCCTTTTTAAGTCAACATTACATTTTTACACTGACAGCAGCAATGGCAGGCAAGACACAGGGTTCCACAGAAACCCTTACAAGTTTTTACATTTTAATTGGAAAGAACTTTTGCTCATGGATTTTAATGGTTATGGTTCTGAAAAAGATGTATTATAATGTATATTTCCATGTTTTGATTTGATGAAATCCAAGAAGATATCTACCCTATTGATAAAACTACTGTAATAGCTCCCCAAAAGTACTTATTTCAAATAATTTCAGACATATAATGATGATGAGGAATTTGAAGAAGAGGAACAAATATTAGACTTGGAAGGACTGAAAAAACGATCACAAAAGGTTAGGATGTACCTCATTTATATTCCATAATTTGATATTATGTTTACAATACTTGAATTTGTACAACCATAAATTTCTTTGATCACATTTTAGCATGGTTGTGTTAATGTCAGTGTCATCAGTCTGTATGAAGAGAGTTTTTTTCTCAATAATGCTAGATGTAGATGATTTCTTCTGATCACTATTCATATAAAGATTAATGACAGAAAAGTAAGGTATTGCCAAACATTTAAACTAATGAAGCCAAAAGTGTTCCAAAACAGTATTTTCTCTAAATGTAATGTACCAAGTTTATTTATTTCAGATTTTGATCCAGTTTGTTGTTGTTGTATTCTTTTCAAAACAAAACTGTAGTCTTTATAGTTCCTGTGATATATTGGTCCAATCTTTTTTATTTATGTTATTTTGTTTTTTACATTTCAATTTCTAGTCTGATTTTAATGCAGATCAATCTGCTTACATATTTCAATCATATTTGTAGTTGCTCTTACAATTTTTAAGATTTAAGTTGCCAAAGAGCAAAAAATGATGTGTCCATAAGGAACATAGAAATTTTAGGTTTTATCCAATTTTGATGGGAATTAATTAATTTACTTTCCTCTTTAAAGAACTCTTTCAAATAGATTTTGCATAACCCTTACAGTTTTACAGTGAGATAAAGGTATGGAAAATCACACATTTATAAGGCAAATCAAATACCAAGTACTGTGTCTAGCACAATTACTGTGTCAACAGTTGCTTTTACAAAACACCTGTGTAAATACACAATTAAGTTATGTACTTAGCTAATTCCATCAACAATTTCACTTAGAATTTTTAGGCAAAATTTAATATGACTTGAATCACCTAAAAGATGTTAGGTATTACATTTTATAGCATTTATTAATTTTTTAGTAGTGCTGATGTTTACATATTTATATTTATATATCTTTTTTTTTTAGCAACAAGACATTGAAAGTTCAAAACCTGAAGAAATTCTTGAATCAACCACTGATGCAGCAGACTGGAAATTGGAAGTAGAGAGAGTGTTACCTCAGCTGAAAGTCACTATAAGAACAGACAACAAGGTAAAGTAAAATTTAATCATCTGAATAATATTTCAGGACTTTTTCTCTATACTGTTAAAGATTGCTAGGGCTAAATGATGATATGTTTTATATACATTGGGTATCCATCAATGTGACAGCATCTAGTCTCTTCTTTGAGTTTGGTTTTTCAGTTCTGAAGAACTATTTTTTTTAGCTTAAATTTATAACAGATTTGACCAAAAGAGAAGACATTTAAATTAGTTTATATTTACCATACATGAATAAAGTTCCATTTTTTTTACAGGACTGGCGGGTTCATGTGGAACAAATGCATCAGCATAAAGATGGAATTGAATCATCACTGACAGAAACTAAAACCCACTTAGATAAATTGCAAAATGAAATAACTAGAACTTTAGAAAAGATCAGTAGTCGTGAAAAATATATCAATAACCAACTGGAACACTTGCTAGGAGAATTTAGGGGAGCCCAAGAGCAGCTATCAGAAAGTAAAGAAAGATATAGACAGGCTAGTAGAGGAGTCACTGAAAGGTCAAGGTTACTGGGAGAGGTAAGTTCATTTGAGCCACCTTTTAAAGATTATGTCGTGTGTAACATTGACATCTATCAAATCTCTAGAAATACAAATCATACACTATCTCTTAATATAAGTTTTATTTTCCCAAGGCATCAATGAGCACTCTGTCCGTCTGTCTGTCCGTCCGTCTGTCCATCCGTCAGTCCGGCAAATCAGCTTTCCACACTTTTTTTCTTCGTCCTTGCAGATATTGATTTGATATTTGGTGTATAGTTTTGCCATGACAAGTTATAGATCAAGTTGGAATTTTGTTCTGGTCTGATGATTTAGTCCAGAGTTATGGAGCATAACTCTGGACCATATCTAATGTTAGAGTACTATGTTAAACCATATTTCTGTACAAAGGGAGATAACTCATTTTTTAAAAGACATTCTTTGGTAAATTATTGGAAGAATTTTTTTGCAGGTTTGTTATTTTGTATAAACTAATTTTCTGAATGCTATATATATATATAAAAAAAATTATGAAGTCCTTTAATTAGATAATAATCTATTTTTATTAATGTATATATTACATTACATTGCGTAGATAAAAATTGTTGACATTTTATAGATAAGTTACAAATCTATATTAGTTTGTGACAAATAAAAGAAAAAATTTGGAACTATTAATTATATTTGATTATAATTTGAAAATAGATATACACTGTATTACATCATATCTAATTTTAGAGAACTATTTATCATATCTAATGTTAAAGTGTTTTCCACACCTTTTTTCATCATGCTTGAAGATATTGATTGATAATTGGTATATAGTTTTATCATGACAAGTTATACAGATCAAGTTCGAAATTTTGTTTCGGTCTGATAATTTTGTGCAGAGTTATGGTCCTTGGACTTGAAAAATTCACTCATTTAATCAGTTTTCCACACTGTTATTAGTCATGATTGAAGATATTGACTTGATATTTTCTTTTTGTTTACACCATGACAAGTTATAGAACAAGTTAACTTTTGTTCCAGTATAATGAATTTTTACCTGGTAGGGGACTATGTATTGCCATGCAATACTCTCAGAATGCTTGTTCATTACAATATTTGAATTTTATAAAGTTGCTTTTGAACAAAAAATACACACATGTGTGTATAATATATATATCAGCAGGGTTTAAGAACATCCGTTGTTCGACCTGCCAGTCAAATGCGTTTTGTTAAAATATACTTTTTCATATTTTTGGTCTTTTGGAAAATGTTGTTTGTGCTGTATTTAGTCCCCTCAACCAAGAAATTTGTTTTGCATGCACACGTATAAAAATTGTGGTTTTTATCCAACACAATCATAGGTTTGAACGTTGTTTTCAATTTAGACTTGTTGGTAATATATATATATATATATTTCAAAAACAATTTTAACTCTAAATTTGTTCATTACCTTTATTTTTATTTGTAATACAGAGAAGTACAATGTATGTTATTTGATTTTAATTATTTGAGATGTCATTTTCACAAAAATATGAATTAATGCTTTCTGTTGCCATGGTGACTGAAAATTATATTTTCAGATATCAAAACACAACAACAAAAATTGTACCTCCAAATTTTTTTTACAAGAATCTCATGATACAATAAACAAGAGTGCACACACTTTGATGTCTTGCCTGTTTTACTACCATTGATTTTATTTTGATAGCCCTAAATATAAAGTTTTACTACAAGTTTCACATTAACTTAACATGATCCAAGAAAATGAGGTCAAGGTCAGATAAACCAAGCCAGAAATACATGTACACGTTACAATCATTCCATACATTGAATATAGTTGACTTATTGCTTATAATTATAGTATACAAGAAACAGACCAAACCATGATCACTTTATATTGACCAATGAACCATGAATATGGGGTCAAGGTCAGATGAACCCTGCCAGACAGACATGTACACTTTACAATCATTCCATGGATCAATAAAAATAAAATTGAGAATGGAAATGGGGAATGTGTCAAAGAGACAACAACCCTGACCAAAGAGCAGAAAACAGTCCAAGGCCACCAATGGGTCTTCAACACAGCAAGAAAATCCAGCACCCGGAGGCGGGCTTCAGCTGGCCCCTAAACAAAATTGTGTACTAGTTCAGTGAAAATGGACGTCACACTAAACTCTGAAACATAATATAGTTGATATGGTAGTACATCAAATATAGTTGACATATCAAATATAGTATCTAAGAAACAAACTTTACCAGGAAAACTTAACATTGACCAATGGACATGAAAATGAGGTCAAAGTCAAATGATACCTGCCAGACAGACATATAAACCTTACAATCATTTCATACACCAAATATAGTTGACCCATTGCTTATAGTTTAAGAAAAACAGACTTAAACACAAAAACTTAACATTGGGCAATGAACCGTGAAAATGAGGTCAAGGTCAAATATAACCTGCCAGACTGACATGTACATCGTAAAATATTTCCATACACCAAATATAGCTGACCTATTGCATACAATATTAGAAAAACAGACCAAAACACAAAAACTTAACTTTAACCACGTGAAAATGAGGTCAAGGTGAGATGACATCTGCTAGTTGGACATGTACACCTTACAATTGTTCCATACACCCAATATGGTAGACCTATTACTAATTATAGTATCTGAGATATGGACTTGACCACGAAAACTTAACCTTGTTCACTGATCCATGACATGAGGTCGAGGTCAAGTGAAAACTGTCTGACAGGCATGAGGACCATGCAAGGTATGCACATACTAGATATAGTTATCCTATTACTCATAATAAGAGAGAAATTAACATTACAAAAAATCTTACCTTTTTTTTCGAATAGTCACTGAACCATGAAAATGAGGTTAAGGACAAAGGACATATGACAGACGGAAACTTCATAACATAAGGCATCTATATACACAGTATGAGGCATCCAGGTCTTCTACCTTCTGAAATATTAAGGTTTTAAGTAGTAAGTTAACGTTGCCGCTGCCGCCAGATCATTATATTATCCCTATGTTGAGCTTTCTGCGACAGAAGTCGCAGGCTCGACAAAAAGCAGACTTCTCTGGACTCTTATGGCATGTATGGCAGATTTAAAGCCTTCAAAGCTGTTATTTTCATTTTTATACGACCGCAAAAAAATTTTTGTGGTCGTATATTGGTATGATGTTGGCGTCGTCGTCGTCCGGCGTCGTCGTCGTCGTCGTCGTCGTCCGGCGTCGTCCGAAGACACATTGGTTTTCGCACTCTAACTTTAGTTTAAGTTAATGGATCTTTATGAAATTTTACCACAAGGTTCAATACCACAAAAGGAAGGTTGGGATTGATTTTGGGGGTTATGGTAATAACAGTAAAGGAATTAGGGGCCAAAAATAAGCATTTTTGTAACTTCCAGACATAACTTGTGTGTTAGTGTATGGATCTCTCTGACATTTTACCACAAGGTTCCATATCACTAAAGGAATGCTGGGATTGATTTTGGGGGTAATTGCCTCCAAATTTTAGGAATTAGGGGCCAAAAAAGGGGCAAAAAACAAGCATTTTTCTAGTTTCATGACAATAACTTGTGTGTAAGTGTATGGATCTTTCTGAAATTGTACTACAAGGTTCCATATCACAAAGGGAAAGCTGGGTTTGAGTTTGGGGGTAATTGCCCTAAACGTTTAGGAATTTGGGGCCAAAAAGGGGCCAAAAAACACATTTTTTTCTAGTTTCCAGACAATAACTTGTGTTCAAGTGTATGGATCTCTCTGAAATTGTACTGCAAGGTACCATACCACAAAGGGAAGGCTGGGATTGAGTTTGGGGGTGATGAATCATAATGGGGGTTCAAAAAATTTTGGGGGGGATTTATTTTTTTTTCCTTTTTTTTCTTTTTTTCCTTTTTTGTTTCTTTTAAAATATTCCATTTTAAGTTGGTTATTTCTGATTAATATTAAAATCAAATAAAAATGATATGGTAGGAGATACACACCAAACAGGATGTGTAAATTATTATATAATAAGTATTGTGCAATAGCAAGAAATTTTCAATTGCACAGTATTGCACAATAGCAAGAAATCTTCAATTGCACAGTATTGCGCAATAGCAAGAAATCTTCAATTGCACAGTATTGCGCAATAGCAAGAAATATCCAATAGCACAATATTGCGCAATAGCAAGAAATTGTCAATTGTACAGTATTGCGCAATAGCAAGAAATATTTAATAGCACAGGATTGTGCAAAAGAAGATACTTCCTATAAATTGCTTATTTCTTGACCAATTTCGATGGGGTTTTATTCTTGATTTCATGGGGTTCTTTAATATGCTGAATCTAACCGTGTATTTAGTTTTTGGATTTTGGGCCCCGTTTTTAAATTGGTCCACATTGAGGTCCAAAGGGTCCAAAATTAAACTTTGTTTGATTTCATCAAAAATTGAATTATTGGGGTTCTTTGATATGCCGAATCTAACTGTGTATTTAGATTCTTAAATTTTGGTTCCGTTTTCAAATTGGTCTACATTAAGGTCCAAAGGGTCCAAAATTAAACTTAGTTTGATTTTAACAAAAAATGAATTCTTAGGGTTCTTTGATATGCTGAATCTAAACATGTATTTAGATTTTTGATTATGGGCCCATTTTTCAAGTTGGTCCAAATCGGGGTCCAAAATTAAACTTTGTTTGATTTCAACAAAAATTGAATATATGGGGTTCTTTGATATGCTGAATCTAACCATGTATTTAGATTTTTGATTTTTGGGCCCTGTTATCAACTTTGTCCACATTGAGGTCTAAAGGGTCCAAAATTAAACTTTGTTTGATTTCATCAAAAATTGAATTATTGGGGTTCTTTGATATGCCGAATCTAACCGTGTATTTAGATTCTTAATTTTTGGTTCCGTTTTCAAATTGGTCTACATTAAGGTCCAAAGGGTCCAAAATTAAACTTAGTTTGATTTTAACAAAAATTGAATTCTTAGGGTTCTTTGATATGCTGAATCTAAACATGTATTTAGATTTTTGATTATGGGC